GTGTCTGTAGCGAGTGACGGGGCTCGGCAGTAACCGACTCCACGAGTCCGAGCTTCCAGTATTTGCCTGTGATTAGAGACCGTTTCCTAAGAGCAGCCTGAACGTGTTTGTCGTTAGCATCAGCTCGGTGTGGTCCGCTGGGTAGTGGTGTGTGTTTAACGGCCTTTGCGAGGCTAAGGCTGTGTTCTGCTGCTCCTACCCAATGTAACGACGTGTTGCGTTATTCTGACAGGTCTGCAAATGTCACCCATGAAGTCATCAATGCCACCCTCCACACTACGCTTGCTGCTACTACCAAATTGGTGGTTCCTACACCTGCTAAACCCATCCTTCCGGTTCAGACTGGAGTCCAAGCACAGCAAGAGGAGCAGTCTAGTGGCATGACTATTTTTTTTAGTCTTCTTGTATTAGGTGAATGATGAGCTGAAACTATCTCTTAACCACCGTTAAGAATACTCTGTAACTGAGGATGTAGGTTATTTTTTAAAATCACGGTATTTTATTTCTTGTCTTTCTCTCCCTGTGGAACAGAGTGTTGTACAGGCACAGGGATTTAGAAGAGTTGGGTATATAACTACCTGAACCCTCTGAAACATGTAGAAAGCTGAGGAACGTTGCAGACCTTTTTACCTTGATCTTAAAGTGCAAACCACACATTTAATTGGATTTACATTCCTTAACAAGCACGTGATTTATGACATGATTTTAAAAAAAAAAAACACTATCAGAGTGCTCCATGGTGCTTGCATCTATCTTTGAGGAGAAGGTACTAGATAGAGGTCAATTTAACTACTTCTGGACATCATTCAGTTATTTTCTTAAAAGAAACAAGAGAAGACAATCTGAGTTACATGCCCAATACTAAAGTTCAGTATTTGTTCTATCTCTTTTTAACTTTCCTGTGTTGAAACATGAGTGCAATAATATAGGCAGATAACCATAATTATTCATGTTAGTATACATTTTGTACGTAAATAGGTGTTTTGAATGGCAGTTGCACACCCAACTATTCTGTTAAGGCTGTCATCTTTCTTTTCTTTAATAGAATATAGTTCTCTCTTACCATTTGCTTTGAACAATTCTGTAGTTGAAACTGTAAAAATAACAAAACTTTCGTGGAGGGTTAAAGGTTTGTCTTTTTTCTTTTGTGTGTATGTGTGCTTGGTTCCTCCAAAGCAAGCTGCATTGAGAGCGTCTCCTCTGAGAGAGGCAGGTCACCTAATCTTCTAAATGGTTGCTCTTTCCAGTATCTTACAAAGAAAATGATAGGCATGGAGTTGACAGCAGTGCAGAAACTTTTGTAAATCTGTCTGGGTAAAAAACAAAACAAAACAAAAAAAATTTGTCTCCTATAAGTAACTGATATTAAATGCAGCAAAAAGTAGAAAACTTCTGCATATTTCTGAAATATCCATTTGACTTCAAAGAGTGTTAATGTTTCCTCAGTGCTCAATGGCATACCCGAATTTGGACAAATGCAGAAGAAAGATCAAAGCAAAATGCAGTAGATCAGAAGAGTAAAATTAAAGTAAAATTTCTAAATGTATGTGTCTCATGCTTTTGAAAGGGCTGTTCGTGGTAAAATTGTATTCCTAGGACTTAAGAACAGGGGTATGATTTTTTCAAGCTGTGTTCCAGACTCTGATTTTGACTGGAACATTTGCCAGTCTGATAGCTTAATGCATCTTGACTGGTGTAAAAGCTTATGGTTATAATTATTCCCATTCATAATCTCTGATTTAAGGGTGCAGGAGAAGTGAAAAGCAATGTGTCCAGAATGCTTTTTAATCTGGATGTTGTGAGCTATAAAATGACCTCTAAAAAGTTCTGTACTAGAATAGGCCCAGAAGCTGATCTGTCCTGATCTAGGTGTGTCAAAGTCAACCTCCTATTTTAAAATGCCTAAAACAGCATGCGTTCTGTGGCCTGTTTATCTATTCAAGCACCACCTGAGTTTTAGCAGCCCACTGAGCCAAAAGGGCATACCTGTATTCTGTTAAGTTCATGTGATCAGTGATTTCCCTACTGTTATGTTAGATGTTTTCAATCTACCCTTCCTTGAGAAGGGCACATAAATGTTCTTTTAGCCTGTTCAGAGTAGTAGTTTCTTTTTTCCCAGCCTTTTGACTGATTGGTGTTTTCCTGACACGTGCAAGTATCTGAAGCCGATGATATGTTGCCAGATACAAACTGACCACTCTTACACTGGGAATAGGCGACAAATTAGCTAAAAGGCATAGTGGGTTGTTATAATGTTGCCAATGGTGGGAGTCGCTTCTTAGGCTATGGTTGTAGTCAAAAGCTGGTAGAAAGGAGCTGCTGTTCAGAACTGCTGGACAGAAGGCATGCTGGTGCTTGCCTTTGGAGTTTTTTGGATACCTGTAGAGTCTAGATGCCTTTATGGATCTATCCCAAAACACACTAATGAATGCTTTTACCATAGTCATCCCAGTTGTCCTTCTTGGATGAGTGTTATTTGGGTTTCACAGGCAGGAAATTGATACAAAACTTAATGGTACTGGTTGACAAGTGGAAAAAAAAAAAAAAAAAGCTTTGCTTGGGATAACGTGATGAGGCTGTTGCTCCAATAGTCTGGGGCTGGCAGCCCAAAGTCTGAGCTGCTTGTTAGACAGCTTCTGAACTGCTGGAGTCTCTGATACATCATTTTTAAGTAATCACCAGTTTAAGTCTGCATTAAACTATTGTGCTGTAAACTGTGGTGGTTTGAGAACTGATTGATCAACATGATAAAGACTGGTGGAGTGGAAATGGGATGAATGTGTGGGGAAGCCCTGCCGGTCTTCTTGAAGTGAGCTATCCCTGCTCATCGCTATGGAACCCACAGTTTTAACCCTGAACAAATGACATACCGGTAATTGAGTAAATACTATGTATTCTGTTGATCAGTCCGTCATGCCGTTCATGTGCACATAAACGCTAAGCATTTTGTGTATAAGTTGGGGGTATGAGATAACAAGTGGGCAAACGTAGGCATCAGTGCGATACCCATTCCTTAGCACTATGTGGGAAAGTAGGACAACTGAAAGTGATATTTGTATTATGATATTTGTACTTTGTTTCTGGATTGTTAACACAGATGGTGGTGTGGTTCACAGGTGTAGTGAACCAAAAAACACTGTCAATGCTCAGAATTACTTGTGGATCATTTTGCACCCTTCAGACTGTAAATTGAAAGTACTGCACTGAACCAGCAGCAAAGTAGTTTGTTTTTTAGTAATTGAAGGAGCTGCTAAACCAAATCACTTAAGAGC